TAATGTTTGTATTTCTAGCACCTAGAAGTTTTACTGACACAAAATGTACACTTAACAAAGATGTGTTCAATAAACAGAGTGCTAACTAGCTTTATAGATGACCCGGTGGACCTCAGCGGGGAAATGATAAAGCCTCAACAACAGATCACTATGCAAAGTGACTGTTACTTACTGAAAAACAGCATTTTAAGCTTCAACCTAACCTGAAGCCTGTCAGTAACTTAAAAGATAAATCACTCTCAGAAAATAAATTGCTACTCTTAGAAGAAGATAATAAGCATTTGCAAATAAGAGGCTATATAACACAATGATTAAAAACTCAGGTATTTCAATTAGACAAGGTACAAATCCTAGTTCACCATCTATTTGCAGTCAAGACTTCAGTGTCTCAACTTCTTTACACATGAAACAGGAAAAATAATGCTGAGCTCACAGGATTATGCAAGGATCAAATAAACCAATAAATGTAAAAAGCTTCAAAGAAGGCTTTTTTGGTAGAAAGCTTCAAAAAGGATAAGTGTGCTCAAGGAAGACTAACATTTGCTACTACTGCTATTATTAGTTGTTCCATCATACAGTTCCCAACACCAAATTAAAAATCCAAAAATATACCAGGGACCTTAAGCAAGATATGTCTAACTTCTCTATCCTCACATTTTTTTTATATCTATAAAGTTAAGTACATAGTTACAGTGCTGCAGAAGCTTTCAAAATTCTGACAAAGTAAAAATGCATTCTGAATCATAAGCTGGTATACATCAACATATATGCCTATATGAATTAATTTCTATATATTTTTATAAATAAATTTTTATCAAAATAATACTGTACTTACGGTCAATAAACGGAATTTTCTTTTCTATTCTGCTTCAATTTTAAAGCTGGTTACACAAAACTGATCTTAAGAAAAACAAATACAACAAACACCGGAGACTCCCATACCTCTTCTGAGGGAGGCTGCTTCCAAACAATGCCAATTTTCCTTTTTCCCTTTTTTTTGAGACCCAGTTTTGCTCTGGCGCCCAGGCTAAACTGCAGTGGCAGAATCTCAGCTCGCTGCAATCTCTGCCTCTCAGGTTCAAGCGATTCTTGTGCCTCAGCCTCCCGAGTAGCTGGGATTACATGCCACCACGCCCAACTAATTTTTGTGTTTTTAGTAGAGATGGGGTTTCACTATGTTGCCCAGGCTGATCTTGAACTCCTGGGTTCAAGCTATTCACCTGCCTTAGCCTCCCAAAGTGCTGGGATTATAGGTGTGAGCCACTGCCCCTAGCCCCAACACTCATTTTCTCATCAGCTTTTAGCAGAAGTAGGTATCTATTAGTTTCACCCAAGCTGCCTCAAATCCTATGGCAGCCTTCAATGAGTTTTATAAACTTCAGTATCCTAATGAACATTTGCGTAGTTAGGAAATAAATACATCAAGAGCAAACTCCCATTCACAATTGCTATGAAGGGAATAAAATATCTAGGAATACAACTAACAAAGGATGTAAAGGACCTCTTCAAGAACTGTGAATCACTGCTAAAGGAAATAAGAGAGGACACAAACAGAAGAAAAATATTCCATGCTCATGTTTAAGAAGAATCAATATTGTGAAAATGGCCATACTGCCCAAAGTAACATATAGATTCAATGATATCCCTATCAAGGTACCTATGACTCTCTTCACAAAAACTACCTTAAACTTCATATGTAACCAAAAGAGAGCCTGCATAGCCAAGACAATCATAAGCAAAAAGAACAAAGCTGGAGGCATCACACTACCTGACTTCAAACTATACTAGAAGGCTATAGTAATCAAAACAGCATGGTACTGGTAAGAAAACAGAGATTATAAACCAATGGAATAGAACAGAGGCCTCAGAGGCAACACCACACATCTACAACCATCTGATCTTTGACAAACCTGACAAAAACAAGCAATGGGGAAAGGACTCCCTGTTTAATAAATAGTGTTGGGATAACTGGCTACCCATGTGCAGAAAGCAGAAACTGGACCCCTTCCTGACACCTTATACTAAAATTAACTCCAGATGGATTAAAGACTTAAACGTAAGACCTAACACCATAAAAACCCTAGCAGAAAACATAGGCAAAACCATTCAGGACATAGGCATAGGCAAGGACTTCATGACTAAAACACCAAAAGCATTGGCAACAAAAGCCAAAATAGACAAATTGGATCTAATTAAACTCCAGAGCTTCTGTACAGCAAAAGAAACAATCATTAGAGTGAACCAGCAACCAACAGAATGAGAAAAAATTTTTACAATCTATCCATCTAACAAAGGGCTAATATCCAGAATCTACAAAGAACTAAAACAGATTTACAAGAAAACAAACCAACCAACCCATTCAAAAGTGGGCGAAGGACATGAACAGACACTTTTCTAAAGGCGACATATTTGAGGCCAACAAACATATGAAAAAATGCTCACCAACACTGGTCATTAGAGAAATGCAAATCAAAACCACATTGAGATACCATCTCACGCCAGTTAGAATGGCGATCATTAAAAAATCTGGAGACAACAGATGCTGGAGAGGATGTGGAGAAATAGGAACAGCTTTACGTTGTTGGTGGGAGTGTAAGTTAGTTCAACCATTGTGGAAGACAGTGAAGCTCAAGAACCTAGAAACAGAAATCCATTTGACTCAGCAATCCCATTCCTGGGTATATATCCAAAGATTATAAAACATTCTGTTACAAAGACACATGTACATGTACGTTCACTGTGGCACTGTTTACAATAGCAAAGACCTGGAACCAACCCAAATGCCCATCAATGATAGACTGGACAAGGAAAATGTGGAACATATACACCATGGAATTCTATGCAGCCATAAAAAACAATGAGTTTGTGTCCTTTGTAGGGACATGGATGATTCTGTAAACCAACATCCTCAGCAAACTGACACAAGAACAGAAAATCAAATAGCACATGTTCTCACTGATAGGTGGGTGCTGAACAATGGGAACACATGGACACAGGGAGGGGAGCATCACACACTGGGGTCTGTTGAGGGGGCCTAGGGGAGGGACCGCAGTGGGTAGGGAGGTTGGGGAGGAATAACATGGAGAGAAATGCCACATATAGATGATGGGGGAATGGAGGCAGCAAACTACATTGCTACATGATCTGCACATGTACCCCAGAACCTAAAGTACAATAAAAATAATTTAAAAAAAACTAAGATTTAGAAAATCATTTGAAAACATTATAAATGAAAGACAATTTATAAATTCTAGAAAAAATGTAATTGACATTCAAAAAATGCTGCTTATTTTGTTCTTTGCTTAGCAGTCACATTAAAAAACCCACATTTAATTGTTCTGGATTTCTTCTGGTAAATCCAAACCAGACTTTTCATCTAGCTCAGTAGGCAGGGATACTACATAATATGAAAAATCTTAAGGTAAACAAGAAAAAGATATGTGACTTCACAAATTCCATTCTTCCAGTTTCCATCTCTTACTGCAAGACCTTGGCAAGTTTTAGCTCTCTGTACCACAGTTTCTTCCTCCAGAAAGTGGGGATAGTAAGACACCTACTTCCCAGGATTGTTTCATGAACTACTGTTTAATCACTCTGAACAGTGCCTAGCGAAGCAGCGTCCAGTAAACCATGACCATGGTTCCTCTCTTATGTAAACTCAAGACAGAAAGTTCTGCACCCTGTTCTAAACGTTTATCTAAAAGCTACCAGCAAAGTGGGAGTTGGATTTCAGCCCCTACTTTATTCTGTATAACACAAACCAACATTAGCTGCATAAAAATGAAGAAAGAAACAAAAATGATATTTAAGATAAAGAATTTCAAGTATCCACTTATGTGGCTTTTGATAATGGGAGGGTACAAATTTGAAAAGTTAATGTATTTATTACTACCCTTCAGTAATCCCAAAAAGGATCTGAAACAGAATCACTTGCAGTTTCATGGCATAAAAGCTCTCCCACAAATTACACACATTAAAAAAATGTAATTCATTTTCAGTGTAATATTGAGGCAGGGAGGTAAAAGTCTTTGAACTATCTCAGAAACATCAATTTTATTGTACCATGGTCTATGTATTATGGATATAAGACCTAGGAAGTTGGTCTAGAGTCCTTATCTACAGATCAAAATTACATGTAATAAAAATATTCAAATACAGTTTTGAAGGATAACCTCTTGTTATTAGATATATCTTTATTATACACATCATGGCCTCAATGTGATGACATATCCTGAATCTCTAACTAGTAAAATAAAACTTCTTTGTGGCAATTCAATTACATTATCGTTTATTTATGACATCACAATGGAAACGGGAAATACTATTGCTTAAAAATTTTTGTCTTTTTAATAAAATAAAGGCCTAAGAGGCAAATCAGATTATCCTGGCTACCTCCTTAGTAAGAATATCTTCAACCCACTGTCCTAAGTCCATTTTAAGGGAAGTACATAATTTCTACCCAGCACTGTGTTTATTGACCAATCAATTTCCTAATAAGTAAATGTGCATAATGAACCCTAAGCAAGGCAAATTTTCTCAAGGAAAAAAAAAAATCTTGTTCTATGATAATCTACAGAAAAATCAAAGATACTTATTTTTAGTGTAGTAATTCATGTCCTCATCTTATTCTGTAATCATATGTATCTACTTTCTTATAAGTCTTTCCCCATAACTGTTTTCATTTATTGCTCATTTCTACTCAGAATACTTTCAAAATATTTTTCAAAAAAGTTTTAAAGCCTTATTTTTTTCTTACAAGGGATCAATTTCACTAAATATTTTTATACACGTATGTGTATATATATATTTATCACTCCTCTGAGGTAATTTGCATTGCAACATGGCCTTTAAAATACAAAGACTACTGAGGTTTTGAATGAAATTTTTTTCTAACTCTTCCACGTCAAAACCAGGGTATCCTGAAAAGCCAACAAAAATCATAATATCCACCAAAAGTCATGGGCTTCAAGTGAGTGAACTACAGAAAGACAGCGTCTTGCCTTGTCATCTCTCCCTCTTGCTCTATAATCCTTGTCCCTACTTGTAGAAGGTTTTTCACTCTTTGATATAGGATGTGCTCGGCCTACAGGTCCCCGGGCTCCTACTCCTGCCATCTCCTTCCTCAGAGGTCTTACTTCTCGATTGGCACGCCTGATCTGAGGTGGAGCTCTGACAAAAAAAAAAAATATAAAAAAAAAATTAAAATTAATCAAAGGCAAAAGTATCTCCATACTACCCTAGTCAATAAAATTGTTAGATCAAGAAGCCTGAAATCTAATTTTTTCACCTTTGGACAATTCACGGCCACAACTATCAGGTTGGTTTTCCCAAATTCATTTTTCTAAAACATACTAGCTGATACAATTATTAAATACACATACATGACACAGCAATTAATCTGTCAAAAGTAACTATTAATCACCAATAGAGGGCAACACAGACTATCCCCATCTAATAATCTTAACAGCATAATGAAAGTCAGTAATTTTATTCATTACTGTCCTAAACCAAGAATAAGTAACTTTTTTTTTGGAAAAAAAGCATTAAAACCTGAAAGAATAGGAACTCTACAATGTCTGTTTGTACAGTTTATTAATTTCTGTTTTACAACAAAGATGATTTTCTCTGTTTCTATAATGGAAAATTAAACATTTCATTCATCAAATTACAAATGGCAGGGCTAACAATAAAATCTTCTTAAAGTAATTTATGTGTAAAAATATTCATGTTTTGAGAATGTCACAAACCACAGAATCATTCAAATTACAGTCCTCAAAATGTGATAAAAAATTTTTGATAAATACATAAAAGTGTGCATTCAAAATAGCATATTTTTGTTTCATCTGCTGTGGAACTTGTCTACTTCAAACAGTAAGTTTTGAGGCATCTCAGCACAGTTTTTGTCTCTTTTTGGTTCTTAGGTAAGGGACTCTATCACTTCGTGTTTAATCTTAGTTCTCTCTTGAAATGTCTCTACCTCTATTTTCCTACCTTTTCTTTCCCTATAACTATGTATGTATCTATAGCCCTTCAGATCCCATATGTGTATTCCATTTTTAACCACATGCCATATCTATTATTATCCCTTTTCCAGCCTCACACTTTTAATCCACCTAACTCATCATGGAGTTTCGTCCCTTGCATCAGAAAAGGTGACATATATGCATAACTCAAAGAATGGAAAATGAATGAAAAGCCATGAAGGTTGCAAACTAAGGGCCAAAAGGGTAAGAAAAAGAAAAAAAAAATGTGTTACCATGTTGCGAGTCTGATACAGTCTATTTAGACACTGGAATAAGACTACATCATGGAATTGCTAAGGAAAAGAAAGGCTGGTGAAAACCATATGTCTACCTATGAGGTTACCCTACACGGACATCTCAATTTGTGCAGTCCAGTCCAGTTAAACAAGTATTTACTGACCACCCATTAGGTGGTATATGGCCTCTACCTCACTGGCCCTAAGAGGAGACAAACATAAATAAGCAATCTTGTGAAAGAAATCCATAGAAAAGAAACTACAAAATAGTGCATAGTAATGGCTATGAGGCGTTTTGAAAATTAAAGTATTATTACATTATTGTCTTTAGGACATTAGTAGTCTTTTAAACATTCAGCCTATAAAATAAAAATGTGATGAGTCTGGTAAAGAATAAAAAATTTTAATTGTTAAATTGCTCTAGTTCTAGCATTTCAATGTGACCACTGTTTGACCTAACTTTTTTTGTTTTTTGTGTTTTTTTTTTCGGTTTGATGAAGGGGTGGAAAGTAATAAAGTACAATTTTACTTTTATTTGTATGCACTTGTGTATATATAAATGTCTTTCCTGAATCAGATTTATGGGTATGGCCGAAGACAATAAAATAAGACCAACAATCTTTTCCACACAGAATGTGCATCATGTTTGCCTTTTTGTAAGCAGCTTCACCTGCTTCTTAAATAGTCCGTTTCCTTTGTGATCCGTTTTTTAGACTAAACAGCTAGCCACAGCCTCTACTCACCAATAACAAGCCATCCCTCCCAGCTGATTGCTCCTCTGGACTCACAGCTTAGGGTACACTACAGCAGATCTCAGACAACATTCCTTCTGCCGCCTCAGCTTGCGCCTTCCTCACCTTAGCTTGCGATTCAATGGCCACCTAGGAGTTCTGCTGTAGTCCATTCTGCACACACATCCCATTGGGTAAAGCTGTATTGTAGAAGAATTGTTTCAAATCTCTTACAGAGGCTACATTCTGAGTGTCTGCCATTACTGACCTTGTCCTGCCACTCAATATTCTGATGGGCTCCTAAACAGTCTGAGTGAAACTGCTCAAGAAGCCAGATGCGTCATCTGCGGCAAGGCTCCTGTCTCACAGAAGTGTGCCTCTGCTTTGTCAGTCTTCAGTTCCATCTCACTGCAACTGGATATTACATTTGTAACAGACTCCGTGGGCTCCCCAAAGGACATCCTTGATTCTGTTCTGTACTTCTTTGTCCACTAGCGCATCACTGCACAATGTCATGCTTCAACTTAAGGACTCAGTGACAGCTTCCAGGCTGTGTAAACAACAAAGATCTCAAGGCTTCTTTTACTAGTGTCTCTTTAAAAAGAGACTGTAGTAGGGTTGCATAGCATCATTGACCTCTACCCTAATGGCTGAACAGAATGACACTGTACTAGCTCATGACACTTCAAATTTAGAGAGTAACTGGTTAGATGTGCAGGTGACAGACAAAAGCATCTATATTGTGCTCAATTCTCCTATTTCAGATTTCCATATAGGAATGAGAAGAAATATGCCTTATTCTATCACATGCAAATCAGCCTCATTTCCTTCAAAATCCAGTATTTCCTCTTTCTAAGCTGTATTAAACATCATTATATGTAAATGTTCTTATTGGTACTCCTTTACACAGTCTACCTACAAGTCCTCTGTCAAATACATGCTTTGTAAATATCTTCTCCCAGTGTGTGATCTGCCTTTTCTCTCTATTTTTTTTTTTGCATTTTATTTTATTTTCAATTTTTTAGATTCAGGGATATATGCACAGGTGCTCATTTGTTACAAAGGTATTTTACCTCTCTTAATGGTATCTTTCTTGATAAAGAGAAGGTCATAATTCTAGAAGTCCAATTTATCAACCTTTAATATTTAATGCTTTAGTGGCCAGTCTAATAAATCTTTGCCTACCCTGAGATTATGATGATATCATAAAAACTTCCATGTTTTCTTCTAGTTTTACTTTATTACTTTTAATATTTTAGGTATTGATCTATTCTAAGTTAATTTTTGTATAATGTTAGGTGGGAAAAAAGAGTATCTTGATTTTTTTTTCACCCAAATGGATAATGAATTACCCCAGAAGCATTTACTGATAAGGCCCACCTTTTTCTACTGAATTTCAGTGGCATCTTCACAAATCAAGTGACTTCCCAAGATTTAATCCTTAAGGATAACTTCTGGTTCTAAAAAGGTCTTTAGAATTTTTAAATTATTTGCTATCAGAAGATTATAAACAAATATCCTAAGTAGGAATCTTTAAAATATTATTAATTCTTTCAACAAATAGCTAAATCTTACTGAAAGCAAGGCACTGTGCTACACAATGTAAAAGGCTGGATTAAGGGTTGTGTGCAGTGGCTCATGCTTGTAATCCCAACACTCTGGGAGGCTGAGGCAGGCAGATCACTTGAGGTCAGGAGTTCCAGAGCAGCCGGGCCAACATGGCAAACCCCGTCTCTACTAAAAATACAAACCTCAGCCATACATGGTAGTGGGCACCTGTAATCCCAGCTACTTGGGAGGCTGAGACAGGAGAATCACTTGAACCTGAAAGGCAAAGGTTGCAGTGAGTTGAGATCATGCCACTGCACTCCATCCTGGGCCACAGAGCAAGGCTCCGTCTCAAAGAAAAAAAAAGGCGGGGGTAAGGGGTGGGAATTAAGTCTTCCCTCATTATCCAAGCAAATAAATCACATTCAGAAATATATTGAGCACCACAGACAATGGTACGATACGAGTTGATGTGAGTTGTTTTGTAACTTCAAGGGTACTTTTTGTGCAGAAAACACTCTCAGGCTTACTTTGATTTTTAAAATATTCAATTTATTAAATTTAAAAATGCAAAAAATCAGTTTTTCCTTAAAGCTTTTAGATTCAGCTACATTTTTTTTTCTATGTACAAGCCTAGCAGATTTTAGAAGTCACTTTCAAGAAATTTTTCTTTTCTTTAAAAAAAAAAAAACAAAAACAAAAAACAAAACAAAGTCTCACTCACTCTGCCACCCAGGCTGGAGTGCAGCAGCACAATCCTGGCTCACTGCAACCTCCACCTCCCAGGTTCAAGAGATTCTCCTGCCTCAGCTGAGAGTATAGGAATGCACCACCACGCCCAGCTAATTTTTGGATTTTTTGTGGAGACAGATTTCACCGTGCTGACTAGGCTAGTCTTGAACTCCTGTCCTCAAGTGATCTGCCCACCTCGGCCTCCCAAAGTGCTGGAATTACAGGTGTGAGCCATTGCACCTGGCCCATTTTTAAGAGATTTTAAAATAATGCTTGGTCCCAGTAACAAACCTGGTTAATAAAAGGCCACCAGAATTTTTTAACCAAATTTATAAACTTAATGTATTTCCTTCTTAGTTCTTATCTTACTTAGTAAAGCATAATTTACATATAATTACTTTTATAAACTTATAATAAATTAAGTTTACAAATAAGATATTAAATTTCTCCTAAGAGTTCCAATAAAGTACTTAACATAAATTTTCATGTATGAAAAAAAATCACAAGTCTAAATTAGTCCATAATACATTTAAAGTGGAATTGCACGCATCACCCTCATTAGCCTATTTTCTTAAATATTCCAAGTACATAAAAATAAATATGCAAACATATACATATTCTTTAACAGAAAAATATTATTACCATAGTTTTTATCCTCTTAGACATGACTAGTCTTAATTTTAAATCTACCTGGAGTTAAAAGATCTGCTTAACTACTAAAGACGACACTTACCATCCAACTTAACCAAGGTAAACCAGAAATTTCAGATGGTTTAAGATCTGAAGCTACAGATATATTTCTCACACCAAATATTATATAATCCTACTTAATATGTTGGGGGTTGGATTCTCAGCATTTTGATGTTACCCATAACAGTTACTTAAGCTGGAATATTTCG